TGCGGCCACTCCATTCACCGTAACTAGCCTTTCTCCTTACCGGCGCGCGCCGCGCTACCTCACCGGTCAATCATCTCAGCAGCCACGGTCCTTTTCAGGGCCAACAAACTGTTCCGAAGAAGTGGGTTGTCATCGGAGCAATGACAAGACTACACACACGTTGACAAGAGCCCCACACATTTCATAGATCCAGTTGTTACCCAGTAGGGCTGGATATAAAATTTGTCACATATGAAGTCTTACATAAAAGATCACATGCAATAAATATAAATATAAAATATTAAATATAACATAAAATTTAAGATATAATAATATATATAAGGTAAATAGAGCCTCATGCAAAGAGCATAAGTTGTCATTCCAATTTACCCATTTAGAAAAATACATACATGTTACATCCATTCTCAGCCTTAACTGACTCGAATTGTCAAGTGTTAAATTAATCAGTACAGCCACTATTAAATCCAACCAAAGGGAGTAACTTATAATTTATTTACTCATATCATTTATTTACCCTCTATCTTTGTAACTCTTGTATGCTCTATAACGATGGTGTCTACTTTATTTTAAATACAGAAAATTGTTGTGTAGACTGCATACTTATCTATATATTTTATGTACCTTGTTTATAACACACAACAGCATGCATACTATTAAGATTATCTAAGATAATGTTGTGAACATTTAAAATAAGAATTTGTTTCACGTAATGATTTAATTACAGGTCTCTAATTCAAATACTGGACTCAGAAATGTTTGAACTTATGCATCAGAATGGTGACTACACACATTTCTACTTTTGTTATCGCTGGTTCTTACTGGACTTCAAACGCGGTTAGTAATATTGCTCTCTTTTCATTACACTCAATGAGCATTGCACGCGGGAGAGGATCACCACATTTCAAGGCATGCATCTTACGGTTTTTACTGTCTTGGTAACGTCATTGAATAGGGAGAACTATTTTGGAATGAAACATTATGTGATACATATACATATTATGTGATATATAAGTTATGAAGGATCATCATCATTATTGGCATGGGAGTCCTATGTGGACCCTGGCTTTGTTCAGAAGCTTCAGCCAGTCTTCTCTATTCATAGCCATGTTCCTCCAAGTCATCACTCTCAGGACCCTGATATCCTGGACCACACCATCCTCCCATCTCAGTGTGGGCCTTTCAATTTTCCTAGCCCCTTTGTGTCTGGTATCAAACACTTGCTTGACTGTCCTCCTGCTTTCCTGTTATGAAGGATATAAAACAATAATTTACTTTATTACTTACTGTCATGTGCCCATTTTCAGTTTCTGAACCAGTGAAAGATTTAGATTAAATTTAATATTAGGAACACGTTAAAAACATGTAAACAAAATATGGACATTACTACAATGATCAGCTTAGACTGTAGCTGACATCATGGCATAAAATCTTTCTCAAGAATGTGATAGTTGTTCAGCTGGTCAAGAAATTCCCTGTCTTTTTGGAACTCAAAGTTGCATTACCAAGTTTACCAGACCCTGCCATTGGATCCTGTCCTGACCAAATTCAGTCTACACCCTTACACTAGTAATTTAGGCAATGTATTTAAATTTTGTTCAGGATGAAATTGGGAGAAGAAAACATTTTACCAATTATTCAGTTGAAGAACTCTTGTTATTCCACCACCTACTTTTGAAAATGTTAAAAGCCATGATACATATAAGGTTTATTTATTCCTGTAAAAATAACTTGCCACTTTTCTTGTATAGAATGTGATCTCTCACATTGAAGGAAAAACACAAGTGTTTGAAAACAAAGTTCTCAGGGAAGTGTTTGGATCTAGGAGGAATGAAGTATGCATTTTAGTATACCACATAACTAGGAATTTCGAGATTTATACATGTCACCAAAAAATGAAATCTACAAGGCCATAATGAGCTGGATATTTAGCTAAGATGGTGGAGGCAAGGAAAGCAAATTTTGGTGAGGCCACTTCTTAAAAACCCAAAACGAAAGTAAATTAAGATGGCTCTTAGGAACATGGTAGTGAGAATTTGAGTTGGATGGAACCGGCCCAGGACCATGTACAATTTTGGTACTAGCAGGGTTTAGTCTTGGCTGTCTACTATCACACAGTTAGTTTTTGGCTAGATGAAAAAGTTTTACAGTCATAATTTAGAGATAGCTAATAAATCCTTAAAAAATGTGGCAAAGTTCAGATAACTGGAAATGACAATAATGTGGCAAGTCCTGGGTGACAAACGGACCCTCAAAAATTCTGTCACTGATCCACTACTAATTGAGCATACTGCATGTCAGGGGCATTAATATCTTCCTGCCATCCACTGTCATGTTGGCTTAACAGTCTGGAATCCATTCCTTGGTCTCCTCCTGCAACCCAGCTAGTAGAGGGACTATCCAACCACATTCTCCTGGCTGGTCAACCTCTTAATCACCCTGAGAGCAGGTCCTCTGGTGAGGTTCACAGGCACACCAAAACTGACTCTGCCCTTAGTATTCTTAATGAATAACTACCTTTTGTAGCTATTCCCACTTGATTAGTCAGCTTTTCTGTAAACTTCCCTTACAACCAACAACCTCAGAAAAAAAGTATAACAGTTCACTGGTTTAATGATTCCAAGATTTAAATGCATGGGATCTAAGCAGGAGGTCATTTCCATGTGAACATAAATTCTCAAGACCCTCCTTCTATTCTAACCTTTAGAACAGGGGATGGATGAATACACTCAGCTACATATTTAGTTGTTTATTATTAACAACTGAAGACAGTTTATATATCAAACACATTTCCATTGTCTACTGCTTTGAGCTATGCCCTCTGTGGAATTTTGTTAAAGTTATTATCCTTTTTGAAACTATTCTTGTTTAATAGTTGAAACATCAATTGGTTCCATCAGTACTGCTTACTACAGAATACAAACATCCAGAGAAAGACATCCTTAGAATGAGACAATAACAACAATTCTGTCTTCAAACTTCAGAATTGTCCTGTACTTTGTAAAGAACAGCTACATCAAGAATACACTTCTGCATTCAACAGTGAATATGCTATCAGTTGAGTAGCTCTAAAGCCTTCCATTTTCCAGGGTAAACTCATGGTCCAGCACCCAGTAACAAATCAGAAATGTATTAATGAAATAATTAAGAATAGGTTATAGTCAGTGGACTCTTGCTCCCATTCAGTTCAGATGCGTTTGTTTTCCAGTCTGCTATCTAAATACACATGCAAGAGTCTAGGAATAGGTGGGAGGATAATATTAAAATATATCCTAAAGAAATAACGTTGAAGTTTGTGGACTGGCTTTATGTGGCTCAAAATATGGCCTAACTAGTGGTGGTCTCCTGTGAACACACTACTAAACCTTTTGGTTCTGTGAAAGGTAGGAAATTTCTTGAGTAGCTGAGTGACTATTAGACCTCAAGAAGGGCTCTGATGCAGGGAGTTAGATCAAGTTATACTGGCATTTTTCTTTGATTCCTACAACCAGTTTTGTTTATCTCATTGAACATACCCAGATTTAAGCTATTTTATGGAGAAAATTTACACATAGTAATAAGGAAAGTGTTTTGTGTTCTGTATGTATAATTTACAATAAACTATTTGAAACACTATTGTGTAATTGTATTTGAGTGTAAGGAAAACTAATGGCCAGTGTGATATTTCATGCTTTCACACTTAAGTTAGCTTAAATTTTCTGTTCATCTTGGTTCCTGTTTGAGCTGTTATGTTCACTTATTGTCTTCATTACGATGTTTCAGAATTTTAAGGTTTGAGAATATTTGAAACCATGGGCCACTGTCTTCGTATGAAATGGAACTGGAATGCTTTCTATTAACATAGAAATATTATGCTGTGTTTGGGTTTTCTTGGCACAGAGTTGCTGTATGATGATGTGTTCAGTGTATGGGAGACAATATGGGCAGCCAAACATATAGCTTCAAACCACTTTGTCCTGTTTATCGCCTTGGCATTGGTTGAGTCTTACAGAGATATCATCCTTAGCAACAGCATGGACTTCACTGACATCATCAAGTTCTTCAATGGTTTGTACAAAATTTTAAGTATGTGAGAATTACATTTTTATTACACAAGCTTGGCATAGTTAAGCAAGCCTGTTTTATTGCACTGAAATTTGAATGGTTGGTTGTTTTTCTCATCTTGTTTTGCAGAAGCACTGATATGAAAATGAGGTACTTTATTTACTATAAAATGTTGTCTCTTTATTGAACAAAGACTGAGAGTGCTCATCTGAGGCATTGACACTCTAGGTCAGTGTTTCTTAACTGCCGGGCCCCGGAATCAATTATACCTAGCCCTCGTCTTATAGAAAAAAGAATTTACTGGGCCATGGTCTGACAAAGGTTGAGAACCACTGCTATAGGTTATGAAGGATTCTAACTTCTCTTTTTTCATACTTACCTACTCTACTAACAGATGTCTTGTATAACAAGTCACTGCACAAATTTCATATGCTCAGTTAACCGTTATTCATAGTTATTATAAAGCTGGAATATTTCATGTAGTTATGAAGTGAAGAAAGCTGCATATTTTTTGAACATTTGTCACTAAACAAAATTTCTGTATTTGCACTGAGGTACATTGCTCTTGCTCCCATCTTACAAGTCTACACAGGTGCTATGTTGATATTACTGATTAAGTTGTGTTTCTTCTTCATAATCATACAAAGTTATATGGTGTAGCCCTTAATCTCACTTGATAATGTGAAACTTTTTCAGAGATGGCTGAAAGGCATGATGCCAAAGCAATTCTGTCACTTGCTCGAGACTTGGTGCTACAGCTTCAGACTCTCATCGAAAATAAATAAGTCTTACGATGGTAATTAATGTCTATAGCCAGAAGGTTGAGAGATTTTCTCTATTTTTGTGATGAAAGAGAATATTGTAATTATAACATTCATATATATTATATTGTTGAAAGTGAATGTATTATAAAACCTCTGTTTGCTGGTACAAATTTAAATATCTAACCTATTGCAGTATTCAAATGTTAATCAATGAAGAAATCCGAGACTTTCATACTGAACTAACATGGATTTCAGTGTTATTATTAGAACCCCTATTACATGTACAATGAATTCAGTGTTGATATAATTTAGATTAAAACAGCTGCACAGTGTATGTCCTTCTGTTGGGCTACAAAGAGTTTTCACTCCAAATCTGGGATCTGGGATTGTTATTTGGGTATTCTATTCATGTTTTATTTAATAACAACATAAAATTGTTTTTAATGTTTCAGTTCAGCAGTGGAAAATTTTTATGTTGAAATAAGAATTTTAGTACATTGTCAACTGGGTGCATTCATTTTACATATAAGTAAAATCCTACTTTCAGTCAGGACATGGTAGAAATAATTCAAGTAGGACAATGCTTACCAGCCGCCACCAAGACAATGTTACTGTTCTCATAATGGAAGTGAATCTGTGTAGTGTTAGCAAACAGCCCAGCACATTCCAGAAACAAGAATGCCCAATTTTATTAATTGTGATATTTATGAAATGGTATGTTGTATAAAAAATCACAATTATTTTTTTGATGAATTTATATCTAAAAATTACATTGACAAGGTATGTCCAAAAATATATGAAAACCTTCACATAGGAGATAAAGGAAAAGTGAATTTTCACTTGTAGCTATACACAACATGAATGTGTAGTGGGAGCACTGATACATCTATGTTTATATATGTAATTTTCATGCACTGGTTGCCTTCATCCCCAGCAAAGGCGCATCCAGTATCCATTTCATAGGACATCGTAGGTACCAGAACCCTGCGAAATGTGGTTGCATAGTGAAAAATCCTTGATACAGGAATTAAACTCTTGCTCTCCAGCACATACTAGTCACTTTACTGAGGTACAGTGGCTAACTTAATGTAGAGAGATGATCTGCAAATTTCAGGAATGGTTAATAATACTACATCTCAATATTTCATAAAACATTGTCAGCAAGAATGTAGACTGGAATCAAACAAAAGGGTGCTTCAAACCTTTTCTTGTGAATATAACTGTAAAGAAAGGAATATTTTGTCAATGCATATATTGCTTCTGTAGACTTCTAAATGTTGTGGACAAGATTGCAGGCTTCAACAGAAGCAACAGAAATACATACTGCTGTAGTCACTAATAAGCAGACAAGACACAAACAAGCATATCCACAGTGTTGAGTCAGAATTCTGAGAATAGACAGGAGAGGGCTGATCACCAGTGAGTTTCATGGATATACTGAATATCAGTTTCTTCATAATCCATAAAATATACAAACATATCATCGCAAATAAATTGTAATATATCATCATCCCTGGGAAGTTTTAGGGTCCATTTTCTTGGATAGAAAAATCGTTTTTGGAGAGGAACAATCTGCTTTCTACTGATTTGCTATGTTTTGGGCTCATGATTTTGTTTGTTCTGTTTTTTGTTGTACTGGTTCACTTGCATTCTTGTTTGTTAAAGAACACTCTTATTCCCAGGGACAATCATAATATAATTCACATGAATTTCTCTTACTACCAAATTTCAAAACTTAAAATTTGTGTGACTCATGAAAATTTTCCATGTCAAATACTGCTGCCTACTTGTGACATATCCTTAAAATTTCAAATGATATTTTTTCCAGCTCAGTGTTATATATTATTTATGAAATGAATCTTTAAATAATTCCAATCAAATTCCTTCCGGGGAACATGGCTCATCTATCATATTTTCAGGGTTGCAAAGTACTGCCATAACTCATGTGACATGTAGAAATGACAGAGAACAGTTCTCATGGAACCAAGAATGGCATCTTCCCACTCAGTTTGCTCCTCCTCCTCTCTTTAGCTTTCCATTTTATATTTAATGCTATTACTTTTAAAATGTGATGGCAAAATTATTTATTGAAGTATTGTATTTGAGCATCGTGCTGCATCAGTTGATCAATCCAACTTCACAGGTCGTTGGTCAATCAACGCTTAGTCCATGCATTGATGCAAATTCACTATATGTTCTAGCCACATGGGGCCATCATCACGTACATATGATGTGTGTAAATTGTTATAGTGTAATGTAATACTATTATAGCCTGTGAGGGCTCTGTGTTGAAAAGTTAATTATTTTAAAAAACCAAAATGGTTACAATACAGTATAACAAGTTATGCAAATTATCATATATACCTTGTGATGGCCCTTTGTAGATGAAAAATATTGTGAATTTAAACGAAAGCATGGACTAAATGATGAATTGACAAATAATCTGTAAGTTTTTTATTGTTACTATCGCACATAAGAATGAAATGTGGTGATATAGGGATGCCTTTCTTTATAATTTTACAAGTAAGAAAAGAGGGTGCATGACTTATGTGATGAAATATGACACTCAAGAATGGACCTGATACAAATTAATGTACGTGAAGGAAGAATGTATTTTCACTGTTAAAATACGCATATAGAGCATTCAAAACAAACAAGAATCTATTATAACTTAGAGCATCAATATATTAAATACCTAACTGGTGTGATGGAGAGGAAAATAGAAAAACAAACATTTCTTTTAATGTGGACATTCCAAGAATAAGACTGAAACTTCCTATTTTCCAGATATCGTTAATAATAAAACAGAACTACATATTCAATTAATTATTTAATTAACAACCATGCCATTATTATGTATGGGAAGTGGAAGTATAAACCCATGTGTTCTTAACCTTGGCACTAGATACAGGAGAGTGGTCAGCTTCACACCCTAGTCACTCTAACCCCAGGGAACGAGTTCCAGTACCCACTAGACTGGAGGTTGGATGGATAGAGCCAGTGTGGATGTTATGCAGCAGACAATTTATTGCCCTTGCCAGAATGTGAACTTTTATTCCTTGGCTATCCAGCCTGTAGCCCATAACTGTGTTGACTGAAGTAATCTGGCTCACATACCACACCATCTGAGCACTTCAAGTACTGGAAAACAAAATAAGAATTCAGAGGAAAAGATTTTCTTTTGGCAAAAGTTCTTCATGAAAAAAATATACACCAAAAAGTCTGCATTGATGCTGAAGTATCTCTTTTTTCATACCTTATAAATGACATGTTGAATAGAAATATGGTTAAGAACAAGAGCTCTTCTTTTACTACATATTCTACTGGAAAGTAATAATTGGTGTCATGTTAAAAATTCTTCTTTTACATCACTGAAGAAAATGCTCTAAAAACTCCTTTCCATAGTTACACTAACTTTGGCAGTATATTTTTCCAAACTCCTGAAATAGTTTGAGGTTCAGATTTTAACAGTAAAGCCTGAACTAAGGCTAACTACCTTCTCTAAAGTACTTGAAAAAGTTATGCACAATAGGTTAAGCTATTATTTTCAGAGTAACAATATACTAGTCCCAGAACAGTCTGGCTTTAGGAAAGGAATTTCCATTGAAAATGCAACCTTTAAGTTAACAGACAGTGTGTTGAAATCTATTAATCAAAAAATGCATGTTGGTGGAATATTCTGCGACTTAGCAAAGACTCTTGACTGCGTAAATCATGAAATTTTATTAACTAAATAACATTTTTTTGGCATTCAAGGAACAACGTTAAGTTGGTTCAGATCCTACTTAAGAGATAGAAAATAAAAGATTGAAATAAAATCAAATTCAATCCAAAGTACCTACTTGAACTGGAGAATAATAAAACATGGAGTTCCACAGGGGTCAATTTTGGGAATTTTGCATTTCATAATTTATATAAACAACCTCCCTCCTACGCTAAGGACCTCATCAATACCTATAATATTTGCAGATGACACTAGTGTTATAATTTCTGGTAAAAATTTGGATGATTTCTCCACGTTATCAAGCAAGGTTCTATCGCAAATGAGTAAATGTTTTTCTGCAAACAAGCTGTCCTTGAACCCAGAAAAAACAAATGTAATAAAATTTATAACAGAAAACTGACCACATTATCCATTAAATATAGGATATAATGATAAATATATAGAAGAGGGGGTAAACACAAAATTTCTTGGCTTGCAAATTGATAATCATTTAAACTGGAAAAACCATATCGATCAGTTGATTCCAAAGTTACGTAGAGCATGTTATGCAGTTAGATTCATGTTACATATTAGTAACATTGACAGTCTCAAATCAGTCTATTTTGCTTACTTTCACTCTTTAATGAAGTGTGGAATAATTTTCAGGGGTAATTCATCTGACAGTAAAAAGGTATTTACATTGCAAAAGAAAATTGTTAGAATCTTGATGGGTGTCAAATCCCGCAATTCCTGTAGAGATCTATTTAAGAGACTACAGATCTTAACTTTTTCTTGTGAATATATATATATTCATTAATAAACTTCATTACAAATAACGAAGAACATTTTCAGATGAATGCGGATGTACACAGTGGTAACACAAGACACAAACACTGTCTTCATAAACCAATTGCTAACCCCTCATGCTTTCAGAAAAGCACATATTATGCTGGGATCAAAATTTTTAATAACCTGCCATCTGATCTCAAAGGTCTTATGAATGAAAAGGCACAATTTAAAATAGCACTGAAACGATACATATGTACACATTCATCCTACTCTGTTGATGAATACCTATTGTCCAGAAAATAACTTATGTATCTTTAAATAGCCTTGTGTGTAGTCACTGTGTATTCTTGGTTTCTCTTGTGTGAGAACTCCATTGGGACAGTACATATGTTTTGTATTTATATGACATATTCCACATCCTACAGTCATTTTGACTAACTGTGTATCCATAGAATTCAATGCAATGTGAATGAAGACACCATTTCATATGTTAGTAAAATGTGTGAATTTTATATCCACATTTTTTCACAAAATAGATCATATGAGTATATAGAGGTGGAGCAGAGGATTCCTGTACCATACTAAAATATCTCAGATGTCCTTACAACCAAATCTCCCTACAAAATATATTTCAAAACTATAGCTGATTTTGTCTGTGAATTTTGGTGTTAATTTTCAACACTTGCTCACTGTCTGTTAACAGTTACACCTACCTCCTATCCCATAATTTCTGTTACCTGAACTGTATTCATTGGGCCACATGTTAGGAACTTGAGTCTTTTCATGCCATGGACCATCTCATATTTAAATAAAATGCTGACATTTCAGAATATTCCTCTGCTTCCTTCTTCAGGTGGCAGGGATACATTCTGATGAACTGCTAACATTAGACACATTTGGTTATGTTTCTTGCATAGCGGCCATTAAAGTGATAAAACACCACAGCATACTAATATAGGTCATGTAAATGGGTATCTTACTTTATTGTACTATGTGGAAAGCATACTCACTCACATCAACTACTTGCATGTTAACGCTGTACAACACAAGCAAAATAAAATGCTAATCAAAATTTCAAACAGTGCCCCACTATACATTCATGTTGTAAATTTCATCTACACTAAAAAAAATTTGGATGGAAAAGAATTTCAGTACGATATGGCTTGATGTCTTTCTCTAAAATGGTGAGTTCATCGAAATGACTGATGACTCACGTGCTCCGCTTGTAGCCTGAAAAGACTGCTGAATTATGTAGCTGTCAAATCTTTTAAGTCTTATAAAATATTAGGCATATCAATACATTGATTTATCAACGGATCAAACATATATCAACCTTAAAAATTTATTTTAATTCATGTCTGAACTGTTGTACTGTATGTATGAATAATATTCTGTGAAATTGGTGTGGTTTTTGAGTAATGTTGTTCATATTATCTCTGTGCCTTACTTTTAAACAAATCTCTCCTGGCATACAATCTTTTGAAATGCCAGTGAATTGTTTTGGGAAAATGAGAGAGAGTTTTCTTCTCTTGATGTGTTTTGTTCATATGTTGTGAAGGGACAGGGAAGGATATATGCATAGTCTTCCTGAGTTATTTTGTATATTTAGAGCTCATTTCTGAAACCAGAACTGCTTTGTACATAGCATAACACATGCAAAGAGTACATGTCAGCTCATATACTAATGTTGAATGATCATACATAATGTTACAGTTAAATTACTGTTTACTCAGAATGAATCTGGTTATCATCTCATCTCCTTGATCTGATGAGTTACCATATTTCACTTCACTTTTGTTACTGCAATGCAATGATCTAGTCATGACAATCATTATTCTTAAGTGGGATATTCAATTTGGTTCTGTTTTAACCATGTAATATTAATTATACTGTTTACTTTTTTAGTTTATGTATAGTTTGTGAACAAGGTAGATGTAAACATAGTGAAATTTATTGGTTGAGATAACTGAAGTGTTTCATGTATGCAGCTTGGAGACAGTAACTCAAATAGGCATATGATATTTAACAGAGTTAATATAAATCATGATGTGATGTACAAAATGAACAAGGTAGAGTGATATATTATGTTCATGCAATTTCACCTTCTTTCCTATTAATACAGAATTTTTATATTCAATCCTTTCAACTTTTTGATATGAAATTCAACAAATTAAACAGCACATAAAATTACCCACTATTTTATTCTGTTTCTATACATAGTTGTAAAAGAAGGTAAAGTTGTCCATGTGCTTAACCAACTAAGCACTATGCCATGAAAGCATATGGGGGAGTGGATGTATAGCTCCATGTTTTCTTGACCTTGGCACTAGTTTGAGGTGAATGGTCAGCTTCACGCTCAAGCCACTTTACCTCCGGGTAAATAGCCCCGGTACCCATTGAATGGGAGATCGGGTGGGCCCCAGAACTAGTCTGGGCGACATGGAGAAGAGACAATTCTTGCCCCTGCTGGGACTCGAACTCCAACTGTTTGGTTGTCCAGCCTGTAGCCAGTCGCTATACCGACTGCACTATCCTGGCTCCAATATAAAGTGGTTCACTGATAAAATTAAATGGCCTACATGCTGAATTACACATTAAAATAATTTCAGCAAGTTATGAGCTTCAGCAAGGAAAAGGATACATTTATGGAAAACAAATGTTTTGGTATACCTACAGAAAGCATAATGAAATATATTCTGCATTGTAGTTTACCTACACTGGCACATGTAGTATCCCTTCCTACTATTTTTGGCCCTTGAAATTACTATTCTTAGTTCCCATGTTGCATACTTATATCACACAATACAGAATACTGGAAAAATAGTGGAATATGAGATAAACGAAAATCGAAAACATACATAAAGCCATGATTTTCACAACTATTCCTAAGTGAAGTAAATGTATGTGCTTGAAGTTTCTGTCTGGTTGTATCCTGTCAGTTCATAGTAAAGTCAAATGCTCTGCATTTAGTTAAAATATGCACAGTAAGTGTTAATGTTTGTGCCAACGATGTGTTACAGTAACCATGACTATTATTGTGAACACTGTACAACACCTCGAGTTTTTTAAAAACAATATTTCAGAAACTAGTTCTGTTTCTGCCATTAGGTATAAGGGAAGGAAGGTTCCTAATCAGGTCACCCCCTTAGAAATAGCTAGTCTCAATCACTACATACAGAAAAACGTTCTAAGCAGAGGTTACATTGTTAACATACACTATCATTAGTGGGAGACAAGAACAGGAAGTCTGTCAATAAGAAATATGAAAGAAACCACAGGAAAACAAAATCAGAGTCCTCATTTCTCTCCTCACTGTTTAGTAATATTTACATTGAACATTAAGAAAAATCAGCTCTAGATACACAATACAAACTGGCCATATGGTTCAGGTTTGTGGATGATACATTTGTGGTAATGCCACATGACTCAGAAGGGTTACAGAAATGTCTCAATTACATCAGTAGTCTCAGACCTTCTATTCAGTTCACTGGAGAACAATAATTTGCCCTTTCTGGATGTGTTAGTTACCAAAATAGATCCAGCACTGTCCACAGAGGTTTAGAGAAACTGACGCACATTGAATGTTATGTCCATTCTGAATCCAGCCATCCACCTCACACAGAAATAAGAGTTGTTAAGAGCTTGTTCAGCAGGGCAGCTACCATTTGCCAAGAATGACATAATTTCCTTTGATGTTGAGAAGTTCAGATGTGATATGGCACTCAGTGATTATCTTCAGCATTTCCTAGAGTCTGTTACCAACAAATTTTGGGACAGAAGTCTGCCTTATATAAATAAAACATCCCTTGGCAATGTGGTCATTTGATATTAACAGAATATATATTCTGCTTAAAATTTATTTTTTGTTCAGGGGTCTTGACTAGCTCTTTTCAACACGCCCACATGAGTAGGGACGATACTTCCCTTATGCATGATGGAAACAGATATATTTCCATAATGTTATGTTAAAATATGGTAAAGACAATGGACAATGTACAAAATAAGTCATGTTTATATTTATATGAACAGCAGTAGTTCCTGAAAAAATGCATGTATATAGGTATGAGGAAATTTATTCTTGCAAATGTCAAACAAATATTGTGTACGTATTCTAATGGGTCATACTGAACTGTACTTTCCAAACCCTTCTACAATTTATCAGTGTTGTATTACTGTGGCTCATCATCCTGATTTGTTGAAGTGGCATGTCCTGATGTTCTTAATTAATTAATGCCTAAATGTTATATAAAATTATATTAAAAAAATCATATCAAAGAGAATGGAAACATATTTTTGGGCAAAGATATTAATGTGTGAAATGTGACAGGCAGCATTCTGCTTTATTTCCTATTATATGATTACATGTTCTATGCAAGAACATGCATCCCTTTCATGCTTAATGTATGTCGTTGCATTAATCTTGAAGGTACAGGTGAATATATAATGTTTTGTAACTAATGAATTCAGGATTCCCCACTGCATAGTTATTACTTGCACTTTACCGTTTTCAATCTTATTCCTTGACAGACAAGCAATTCACTTCAACAACAGATCACTTACTTATTACACAAAGATACCAAAATAGGCATTTAATGGACACTTTGTTTTACAAGCTGTTAGAGGAGAAAGATTCTCCAAACAGTGGAAGGACACAAACATACACGATACAATTATGATTGAGTTGTAACAATAAAATTGATAATTGTGGATTTCTAAGCTGATAGTTATCACATGTTATTGTTTGTATATTTTAGTTGTAATTTTGATGCACAGTACCATGTTTCTAGAACCAAGGCCTACATGTTCCTTTTAGGTTTTCAATATGTATGTGAATTTGGACTAAAACTTCTTTAAATGTGGGCATATCATAAGAGGCATAATGAAGGTCTCATTAGCTGTAATTCAGAACTGTGTTAACTGAATGTCTAGAACCATTCCTGCATTTTTGATGGAAACTCTACTCACATGGGAGGCTGTTCCACTCCTACTGCTTAAAACCACGGTAATACCCTTTCATGGGACTGTAATATTGTGAATACCCTGTCTGACAGCTTTGGGCATGTCCTTCAAGCAGCATGCCCATAGTAAGACATTTCATAAGCAACATATTGAAGTTATACTTGTTCTAAACTGTGATCCAAAGTATAGTCATGTGTGTAATGATCTAAATATCATTTATATTTATGCAATTTGTGCATAACTTGCTTTATCTCAAACTGTGTTAACCCTCTTAATTCGAATAATACGCTTTTCCCAACTGTTAATGTTGCATAGTTCCTCAATAAAAATGGACTTACTTTACTGTACATGCAAGTTCTTATATAGCTGACCCCATTTCTTGCTTCCTAATCTCTAGTTCATCCAGTTTTCTCTTCTTTGTTTTATACCAACTGCCTAACCTGGATCTGTCATATTTTTGTCATCCTGTAAGTATATCATTTCCACATTATTTGGTCACTTTAATAAAGACAGCTGTTGTTCATACACTATTAACAATAGTTTGTCAGTTGTGTCTTATCATATTTCCCTCTTCTTTTACAATGTGTAGAATGTACACTCTTCTTAAATAACTACTGAAAAAGAATTCACATATCAGATAAATGTCATTGCACAGGAACTTAGCAATGATACACATATCATGACATGTTACAATAACCCAGGCATTTCCATTTCGTCTCTTATTTGTAGTCAGAATTTAAAGTGTTTTTTTTTGTCAGGTGTCAGTTTAAAAATGACAAGAATCCAAAATAATTTGTGTGCATTAAATTCTGTGAATAGGTCAGAAGAGAGTCCAGAGTTAAAAATTAACAAGATTTACTATTCATGAAATGGCTGAAGAGTTAGGAATTTCCTACTACTGCTGTCAGGCCATTTCAGCTGTTTGAAAATGAGGCAAGATTCAGTCAAGTTTGCTCCCAAAGAGGCTGACAAAGGTAACTGCTTGCCTTGTGGCTTTTGGCTTGCTGAAATGGCTAAGAAAAATTCTAAAAACAAAATAACAGGAGGTGAAACATGGGTCTACAGTTGTCCTCTAAATTTACCAGTAATCCCCTTCCTTACCACAACCAAAAACTCCATATCAATTTCTCAGCAAAATGAAAAATACTGATTTTTATATTATCATTACAAATTGAGACTGAGAATTGCTTTCAGCATTGGCAGGACCACTGATTAGTTTTTAGCTTGCCACTGACCATATGGGGGTAAGGCAGTAATTTGTTAGGTAGGTTTCTTGCTTAGCCCTTCACAGTATCCCATCACCCTCCTCCATATTGAATACCTTGGATGATGGAGAGACACGAGATGTTCTATGTCTAAACAACACATCTACAAACATGAAATTCATATTTGGATGTAGTGGTGACCATAAAGCTGGCTGGCTCACTACAGAAAATATAAATTAGAAAACCTACACATGTGGCTCTATCTTTATGAAAAAACAGAAAAGAAAGAAAAACCATCACATCACAATAATGTGGTTATCATAATCATTAACCAGAGCAAGAGTATGTGACACGCAGTGTTGACAAAATCTGACGTTCAAGGTAAAAATTCAGACAAAATAGATGTAGTCTTGTTATGTGATAGATTTATTGAGGCCTTCATTTACAATCAATTACAACAGCTCACAATCAACCTACTGCCGAAGACTCGCTCCATTCTCATTCTCCTGTCTCAGTTCTCTTATAGCTTCTGAATTGACTCAGCATTCTCACTTGTCCTCCCTTCATAACTTCAGGAAGAACCGAACAGAGATCACAACCTCCAACAGTTCCTCTATTATTATGTGCTTATCTGTTGCTGTGTAAATGTGTTTAGCGAGCCGCTGCCTAGCACTGTCTCTACAATGCTTCTCTGACTGCACACTCAGGCATCATGTCTCACTGCTCCCTCTGTGAGGCTGTTTGTCCCAAATGGCCTATAGACATACTGCGTACAGGCAGAACGTGTTTTGTTCTATGTCCAAACAAAATGTTCAGACATGTCCATGGTTTATGCTAACTGTCTTACAGTGTATACACTTTTCCACCTTATTCTTCACTTCCACACTACATGTTTCAGCACTAATGTGCCATCCTCAGGTGTCTTTATGCACATTAAAATATTGTACTGCATGCCATGATGTCTTCATTCTAAAATGACTAAAATCCGTATTCGTCATATATGTCGATGAACTCTAAATAATAAAACTTTTCAGGATTCATCCTACGTCGCACTCAAACACGCGAATTACGCCAATCCTCTTTTATGTGAGCATTCTTCCTACATACATTCGTGTATCGTGTTCTGTGTTGTGTTTTGCTCCTGTTACTGCATGTGTTGTACTGCTGGATATTTAGTCATTTTAGAAAGAAGACATCATGGCATGCAGTACAATAGTTTCACGTGCATAAAGACACCTGAAGATGGCACATTAGTGCTGAAACATGTAGTGTGGAAGTGAAGAATAAGGTGGAAAAGTGTATACACTGTAAGACGGTTGGCATAAACCATGGACATGAATCAGTGAAACAGGACGCTAAAATATAACATGTTCAGACATCTTCGCATTGCTGAATGTACTGCGACTGGAATGGTGTAGCTATATATGTTTGAGGCTTTTATCACATCCATTTTGGAAGAAATGGGTCCCAGTTACATGTTGTTCCAACAGGACACAACACACCCACATTTCCACATGAAAGTGACTGACTTCTTAAATCAAGTTTCCTAATAGACTGGGAGGGACAGGCATATAAATTGACCACCTTGCTTCCCTGACTTTAATCCCCTTGATTTTCTCCTTTCGGAAGTATGCAAAGGATGTCATTTACCACCATTTCCTACAACGGTTACAACTTCGATGAAACTTACTGTAATAACACCTACATTCGTAGCCTTTTCTTGATTGATGGAATATTACAATAAACTGAACATACCACATGATGGGTCTAAGCTGGTCTAAGCGCACTACTTTGGTTCACCTCCTCTCAGCACAAATCGGCTTAGATTTATCAATATTCCCGTAAAGAAATATTCTGTCAAATTCATCACAATGTGAAAGATCGAAATACATACGACCCTTACAACACAATTTGTAACTTTACGGACCTACGGACACACAAACTTTACCGCCCGAAAGGATCCGTGACGTGAGCAGAGCGGCGCGCAAGGAGCGTAAGGGGCAGAAAGGGGTTAAGGGGTATCGATGGATGTCAGTTTATGTCGTGGTGTATGTTTCAGTCTTCATCGTCTTCATGTATTCATGAAGTTCATGAATAATCGTGCACAATGACTTCAGGTTGACGTAACTGGATTTGGAGCATCTTGCACAGATATTTTGTATCTTTCATTGAGTGTGGCAAGAGTGGAAAGTTTCAAGTATTATGTAAAAACCATTATACCGTGAATAACATCAGTTTTGTTAATTGGGCGTTTACAGGTTGAGTTTAGTCATTCTCTTGCATGTTAATAACCGTTAGGCCAAGCTAAGGGCAAAGGCCCTCATGCTTAAGGGTTTATAAACGTAGGCCATGCGAGTTTGGAATTCTGTTCATTTGGTTTTAGGTTATGTGTTAAATATATGATGGCTTTGAGCACATAAGATGGGAGCAGGTGCTGGAGTATAGTATATGGTATAATTAGAAGTGCTCAGTTATGTTGTCAGAAAGTGAATATCGTAAATGGCAAGCCATTTCAAGTCTGTCCTTAGTAGCTTTAATAGAAGAACAGTCTGGTATCCACCCTTCTTTGTCAGACTCCTTGCCACACAGGTGTGCCCTTTTCAGAGCTTCTACTTTATTATGCAGATCCAGATCCCTCGGTGTCCCCATCTATTTTTGTAAGTTATATAGGGAAGACTTTCTCAAAGGAGGAGCTGCTGGTTTTGTTTTCTGTGTGCACTGAGTTAAAAGAACTATATTTCCGCCACACAGCGTGAACACTGATGAAATTTAATTGCTTTTTCCAATTTATCGTTTTCTTTTTTCAATCTGTATTGTCATGTCTTAACAGTTTTAAAACTAAAATTACCTCTCTATCTCCAAAATGTTACAATTTGAGCCAAAGGTGTAAAACAGGTTGCTGATACCACACAATGTGACCTGATATATACCTGTATATACAGGATAATTAATAATACTAAGACCAGTTTCTGTAAGCTGTTATGACAATCTTCCCACAGTAGTGCAACATTTGCACTGTTTTCAAGAGTCAGTACTCAAATTCTGTTTACTTCTACCGTATTTTCCTGATTGTAAGACATGCCAAAATTGTAATGGCTGTAAGATAGCATAGAGTTTTTGTGTCTTATGCTCAAGAAGATGTGACATCTTGTGACCATAATATAATTTTATTTTACACATTAGCTGAAATGTTAATACAGTTCTTGTGTTTTATTCTTGTAGACAGAGGTATGATATTGAAAGAGGAAACATCAGATGGTTCCACCAAGGGAGAAGATGCAGAAGATAATGGTAACTTACTGTATTATGAGCAACATTTGACTAACACTTTGGTAACAAATCCAAAGGTTCAACACTACTAGCATCAGAGCATGTCAACATGATCTTGAGCCAGTTGCATTGATCTTCCAACCTCACAATCTATCTCTTAGAGTTCTGTCTTATGGAACTCTCTTACAAAGACCTCAGTGTGACAAAAAGAAAACAGCCTGTATTTATTTATTTCGTCTCTATAGATCATTGTTACATGATAGTGGACAAATCATTTACTGTACATTGGCTGATTACAATAAGAGAATAAAGTTACAATACTTAAAATTGTTTACAATAGATTACTGTAGATTACAATAGTTAAGATTTCATATAGTGTGAGGTGGAATCCATATTAGGTCCCCTCGGCACGTCGGCTTCCATATGTCCTATTGTACCTGTACTGGTGATAATGCTTATGGAGAATTTGATGGAATGAGGATACTGACCTAGAGAGCACTTTTAGATGCCATGGCAAGAATAGGCTGAGGTGTGGATCATCACAGAAACTTATTATGACTGGTGACATGGGAGAGACATAGGAGGAAGTGGTCTGGTCTCATAAAGTACCACTGTGGCATTTTGCTAGAGGGATTTACAAAAACAAATGATCCCTGGATGCTTGGTCTCCTAGCTATGATATGATATTTTTTAATTTAATTTATTCTTATATTCAAGTCGATCCAATTACAGGGTGAGAAACAAGTTAACAAGTTCACTGGGTATAGAATGTGTCAAGAATCGAAACAAATGTTCCAACCAGTCACTGGAACAAGTCAAAATAACATAATATAAAACATAGATAACACAGTCACTAAACATAATAAAATGTGACTACAACAAGACTTAAATACTAGATGAACACATATTAACCATTTATCTTATAAAATTCGTCCAGTTTATAGAAACAATGCATATGAAATAAATAAATAAATAATCAATAAACAATACAATGTCAAATGATGTGTGTTACATCTCTCACACATCAAAAGAAAAACTGTAAAAACATCTAACATGCATCAACAATAAATGGAATAAATAACTTCTCTCAGAAGTGTACTAAAATTATTATGGTAATAAATACATTCATAAATAAATTCATAAATCAAGAGATTTTATGTTAAAATAAATAAAAGTCATAGTAAGTATGTGTGCAGATCTAAAGTAGATGATTATTTATATATTTTTCATTAATAGGACTTGTCAAGGTTAATTTTAGATACTATTTATAAGAACAAAGGTCACCCCTTGTGTTCCATTCATAATATTCATTTAAAGAATAAAATGAAACAGCAAGAAGAAACTCTTTTAGAGCCTGTTTGAATTTATTAATATCATTTAATAGATTCCTGATGCCTTGTGGTAGATTATTGAATATCCTAATTCCTGAATAATACAACACCCCTCTGCACTTTAGCTAATTTATTAATAGGAAAATGTAAGTCAAAACCTTGTCTGATGTTAATGCTATGTATATCAGAATTAAATTTAAATATATCTGAATTCTTCACTACAAAAATTTAATACAGAAAATATATATTGAGAATATAAGGGCAGAATATTTAACTGCCTGAACAATGGATGACAAGAGTCCCCATTTCTTGCCTTCATAATAATTTTCACTATTCATTTTTTTATTTTGAAAATTAAATTACTATGAGTCGAATTGCCCCAAAATATTATTCCATATGACATAATGGAATGTACATATGCAAAATAAATCCTTAAACTCACCTGAGTCATAACTGCAGATAGGGTTCTAATAGAATAACTAGCCACATTCAGCTTAGTTACCAACTCCTTTATTTTATCTTTCCATGATAAGGCATTATCTATGATTAGTCCTAGAAATTTTGTATTACAAGTATATTTAATTTGAACATCCTTATAGCTTAAATTTATGTTTGGTGTAGTATTTACTTTTGATGAAAAATGCACATAGTTAGTTTTGTTAAAATTAAACGGTAACATTTGAACTCAGTACTTCCCATATGTATGAAACAGTGGTTCTAGTCACACTATGGAACTCTGTACATATTCAGATAACTGTGATTAATTGTGGTATAAATGCTTATGCAAGAAATAGGGTTTTAATTTAACTATGAAGCCATAACAACTGGGTTATCACCATATTCTCTGAACCAAACTTGTGTATTTCCTGGGTGAGGCAGGCATACAGATCTCCACAGTTGCTTCTTACAGAAGAGGGCAGAATGCTTTGTTGTAGATTACATGTATGCAAAGTTTAGTAATTTTTGTATAATAAAAGACTATGAGTATCTCCTCTTGCAATTTGTATTATAAAGAATATTTGTTTTTTTGTAAATGCTTCCACAAGTCATCTGCAGCTGGATTCCTGGAACTAATCTGAAAAAATTGTCAGAACAAGCCATGGGTTTTTCTTACTAAGTGGTCTTTCATTGAGATTGAAATATTCAGTGGACAAATAGATGAAGTTCCTATGCCGTGCTATGCTATACTATCCTGCTTGATTAGAACCCTTAAAAAGTAGATCAGGAGTGATCTGACATAGTAAATGCTAATTTTCATTTATTTAGAAGGTCTCATGTCAGATTCACACCTTCAACATAAAAGTGAATGCAGTATCTGCATGTGACATCATAATATCTTAAATTTTCAGTGTGATTTTTTTAACTTTTTCTGTTTCCAGATGCATATCGGATCTTTGCAGCCATTGCATACGCTGTAGTCCTCATTGTGATTGGGTTGCCACTCTGGTGGAAAACTACAGATGTGTATCGTGTTTCATTGCCTTATTCAAGAATTGCTGCTCTTGACAGCTTGGATGTGACCCTTGGGATGAACATCAGTATTTCAACTATAGACCCTGCTCGAGGAGGCAGATTGGTGGCAGATTTAAAAGACATATTTAAAACTTCAAGTAGGTGTTAAACAGTTCGTATAATTAATTATGTACTGACTGAAGTAAATATCATTCACTAGGACTTCTTTTGCTTTAGAATTGTTTCAGTTGACCTTCCTTGCATTGCCACTAGAAAAGAAGGATTTGGCTTCTGTGCATAGTCCTGAAGACTTAGAAAATGCTTCCTTGCAACCAAGAAAGCCAGGCGAATTGCTCCTCTTGGAGGTTCCAGGATTGTCAAGATTTACTGCAAACCATGTTCTGGCAGGCCTGAAGAGAACAGTTTATTTTTCATCTGAAACCAGTGAGTCAGAATGTAGGCATTCTGAGCTTTTGTCCAGTCATGTTTTGCAAATTCTGTCTGCACATTCATTCTTTCAGTCTCTCAGCTTCTTAATTATGCATAATAAACAAATGCATTCTTTATAGTTCTGCGTCTCTTATAGGTCTTAGTATTCATTACTGCAGATGAACAGAGCTAAACATCAATGCAGATGCTACAGCGCTTAGAGTCAGAAATTCAGTTATTTACAAACTAATCATCTGTGGGAACATTACATTACGTATGGGTATAATGTATTTTTTCTTATACTTAATTAATATTAATCAGTATTGAAAGAATTTTCAATAAATGTTCATACTTATAACATTAGATCATACTTTTTCACTTTTCATTAAATATTCACCTTATCAAAAAATATCTGAAATATATATCTGTTCCATATTTTGTCATGTATACAAATTTTTTGTTTGGTTTGCTATGTGTAACACATTTGATGAAGAATGACTTGAGCTCTGTATAGCATTTGTGTTTGACTTTTAAGGACCAATGTTAATTTTAGCTAATAATACTTGGTATATGTTATAATATCAGACTTCATTGAAACCATTGGATAGTTCTGTAGATGAAGCATGCAGACAGATGGACACGGCATACCAATTACGCATTAGTTTTGTGCACTGTATGCAAAGAGTACATGGAACTAAGCAAAACAACAGCTTTTATCTTTGAGTGATCTCACTGATTTTGGTAGTATCTCTAAGGTTGTTAATATTGGCGGCACCATAGGTCAAGCAGTTAGTCGCTGGCTTCCCACTGCAGTGGCCCGGGTTCGATCCCGGGGTCTGGCCAAGTGGGATTTGTGGTGGACAAAGTGGTGCTGGGGCAGGTTTTCTCCGAGTACTTTGGTTTCCCCTGCCAATCTTCATTCCACCCATTGCTTCACAATCATCCTCACCAATCATCTGGGGCTGGTACGATAGGCCAGAAGTGGCTGCACTACAAGGGACTTAGTCCCACCCCACTAGCAATAAAAAAAGGGGTTTTTAATACACATAGTTCTGGTTTTTTCTTCCCTCTGTCATATACTGCTTTATGTCCTCAGCTTATTTTTCTACGCTGAAAGTGGAGGCAGCAGGGTCCTCCAAAGCATTTTCTATCTACCACATTTCATGGCATCACACTTCAGAAGACTATAGTACTCTTTAATATTCACTGCTGTGAGAATCTGAGATTTCAAGACACGTGGGAAATGTTTGTATGGGTACGATTATCTGGGTATGATTTCCAAAGAACTTTGCTAGAGTATGTGTTATGTAGTGCAGCATTAAAGAAGTGTCTTTGTTACAGAGAGATATAACTCAGTATGTACTGTCATGATTTAGGGGTGTGTGACTACAGATGGAGCATAGATTGGTGAATGGATTTATTGACCACTTGTATATACCCCTCAGCACTGCACTTTACAGATCACTAACACACACACACACACAGACTAGTGTCCTCAATCTATTACACTCTCCACTAGCCCTTCCCTGGAAATGGCTTCTACTGAGGGAGATTCTTCACCTTCCCACACTCAGGCCCTCTTGTCACAGCCACCTGTACAGAACTCTTGTCAACTGACAACTAAACTAACTGGGTCCCAGGCTGGCAGCCATTTCACACCAACACCAACCTCATAGTCTTCTCTTCACAGGCTGACTTGCAACTGGACTGCCAACTGAACTCTCTCACTCACCAACTAGCTACTTCATGTCACTTCACTCAACTGAACTGCTGACAACTCTAACTCCAGAACTCCACTGACCCTGCTTATAACATTTTGACACAAACCACACAGAAGACACTGTTTGCATTGTTATAGTCCAACTGTTGCATGCCTGTCTGTCGCTGCGGGAACACATCTACTGATCAGTTGCCTAATGATAGCTCGGATATTGTTGATGTGTTAATTGGCTGTTACCAATCAATGTGAGTTCTTTCTCACGATCATTGCATAGCAACAGCTATACATGCTGGAACAAAAGTCAGTGAGATTCTTCCATATTTTCTGCTTGACTTCCTGTACAGAGCAGTAGACAGTATTGCTGTTAAACTGCATAAATATGTTGGACATGTAGGTGGATATGTGAGGTATGTCAACATTAAATGGCCTTGTATAGAGTACCATATTCCAAATACTGATCCTGATCACATCACTTTTTGGTATCTATAAGCTAATCAGATTAACTCATTGCGGATCGGCAATTTAAATATTTAAATCACCCTGGGGCCGCCATTATTAAACCTACTATCCTTACTTGTGCACTGTTCACTGTAAAAATTAATATAAAATCTCCTAATTACTTTTATGAACAAAAATTTTTGGAGAACACTTACCAATGCTCCTAGAAGTGCTTGAGAGTGTATATTTCTGGAAACATTCCCCTTTGTGGAGTGCCATCACACAGAACTTGCAATGTAGACAGTCATACTACATTTTTTCTTTTGTGAACTGTGCAAACACAGCATTGCCTAGAAGGATGCTTCCCCTTGAAATGTTCACTCTTCACAATTTTCACGGGGGTATGTTGAATTGAATTTATTTACATTCTATAAATCCTAAGCAGGTTAGTACCTTTGGATACAGAACAAGTCAAAAGGTTACATACATAAGTACAGGCAATTTTAGCTTAAAAATTAATATAACTTAATTTTACATCATTCTCTATTTACATTGAAGTATTCATCTAAAGAGTAGAAGGAATGAGCATGTAGATAATTCTTTAACTCTGATTTAAACTTTTTAGTATCATTGCCCAAGTTTTTAATACTTTGTGGCAGATTGTTGAACACTTTTATGCCAGTAAAGTAGACTCCTTTTTGATATACTGATAAAGTTGATGAGGGTAGGTGGAAGTTATATTTTTGTCTAGTATTCATGTTATAGACATCAGAATTTAATTTGAATTTATCTTTGTTGTAAACAACAAATAAGAGAAGCGATAATATGTATTGCGATTGAAGAGGTAGAATTTTTAATTTCTTAAATAATTCTCTACATGAATCTCTACTTCTACATCCTGTAATGATTCTAATTATATTCTTTTGTATTTTAAAAATTATTACACTATGTGAAGAGTTCCCCCAAAATATTAATCCATAGTTCATAATAGAATGAAAGTAGGCATGGTAAACCATCTTCAATGTTTCCTGTGACATAAAAGGCTTAATTGATCTCATCGCATAGCAAGCTGCATTTAATTTAGGTATAATTTGTTCAATATGTATTTTCCAAGACAGTGTACTGTCTACATGTATTCCAAGGAATTTTGTATCAAGTACTTTACAGATTAATTTGTTGGCATAACTGATGTCCAGATCAATTAGGTGGTTGTTTTTAGTTGTGAATGATATGTAATGGCTTTTATCAAAATTTAATGAGAGTAAATTGGCTTTGAACCATCTGTTTAAGGCTTCAAATACAATACAAATACAATACAATACAATTCAAATACAAATGTTTCTGCATATCACCCAAGAGTTGCCCTGGGTGGTCCACATTAAGCCTGCATGGGGTGGGAGTTGATGGGCCCGGTTGCACTAAGCCTGTGTCTGACTCTGGTTCTGCTGCCACCATCTGGTCTGTAACACAGGCCTTTGCCACATTCATCAGAAATGCTTTGTATTTCAATTTTGAATCAGGGTTTAGATTTTTTGCTGTCCCTGCAATCTTACTACCCGCATTTTCGTCAGAGCTACTGTCACTTTTACTGTCTGTGGCCACAATTCTCTGTTGTCCCCTGTCACTGCCACTGTCTGAGTCACCATCACTACGCGTCTCACAAGGCACGGCACGTAAGCTGGCTCATTGGAGAAGAATTTGTCCTTGATTCATATCCCACCACTAACTACTGGCTGGTACAAACAAATTGAAGAGAGGCAAAGCATTTTCCATTAGAGGGGGTTAAGAAAACAGCTAGGTCATGTTACTGAATACTAAGCAAACATTCTGGGATTTTATGGCTCAGTATCTATGCAGCTGCATGGCAAAATAGCAAGGTATAGTGTGTTGCAACCTAACGTGTCCTAAAATCACGATATCATGCGACCGGTCTGCCACATTTAAAAGCGAAAAGCATGCTATCATGCGACTGGTCCTTTAACTGTTAAGAACTTAACTACATAAGAAAATACACGTGTCTGTAAACTAGCAGTATGTTGTATCTGAACACATTTATGCTCACTCATGAGAAGTGGGTGGCCATATTTCTGGAGCTCTGGTTAGAAGAGTTGCGGAAAGATTATGAGGGGCTTGACTTGTAGCACATCTAGGAAAATGTAACACACATAGTCAAAACTATGGAAGGAAGCCATTTCGATCATGAAGGAATAGCTTTGAGATAGTATAAAAGTTGGCCTGAAGTAAGTGGACTGCAATAAAACATTCACCTGAGTTGGCTCAAGTGATGCACTTCTGATAGAGCAGGAGTGAACCATACGAGTAAGATTCCATAATACCAAGATAAAAGATAACGTCCTCATGCTTCATTAATTAAGCACTACACCATGAAGACATATGGGGGAATGGAGGTATAGCTTCACCATTCTTCACCTCAGCATTAGATGGAAGCAAGTGGTGAGGTTCACACCTGAGCTGCTTTACCCTGGGGAAAGAGCCTCCCTTTGGTACCCAGTGGATAGGAGGCTGATTGGGCACCAGAGGTGGTCTGGACAATGTGGAATAGAGAAAATCTTTTGCCCACATCAGGAATTGAACCCTAGCTATCCATCCTGTAGATCCTTGCTGTACCAGTCAGGCTATCCCTGTTCTATATAATACCAAGGTAGTGCCAGTTTATTTAAAACTGTTATGACTTATGCCATACTTTTTTTTTCTAGCGGCTGTAAAGTTAAGTGAAGTTTTGGAATCATGGTTGTTACAAGAAAAGTCACTAAGACAAACAGTGGCTGCCATGACAGCTCCTACAGAGACTGATCAAGATCGTTCAGGACGACGCAGAATGCCAACCGCTGCAGAGTATGATATCATGATCACAGTGGTAAATCCAGAACCTGAGAAATTGCATTTAAACTGGGATCTGCCTCAGGCTGTACAAGGTAATGAATTTTGTTGAGTCAGGTAAGTTTATAAAATATATTTTATATACCGTGACCTGTATGACCTTCAAAGTAGATTATTGCAGTTGCAACATTGCAGGATGTAGCAGGATAATGTACTGAGTTACCCCATATACAGTACACACCACAAGTTATGCACAAATCCAGTATGCAACAGTGTTTTGAAAAAGCCTTTTTAATTTCATTGTTAGTCAGATGGTGAATTTGCTATCACATGAAAAAATGGAAATACATAATTTCCAAAGGCATTGTCTCTTGTATGCAAACTAAAGCTCTCAGAATATCTGTAGCTTTAGCAAGTTTATTCACGTGTATATCAAGACAATGGAGAATGTCCAACATAATATTTGTATTATTTGTATAATTGTTGTAGTAGTTTTTATTGTTATCATTGTTTTCGTACTGTTCACTTAAGTTTATAATAATAATGTTCAGTGATTTAAAGTAGCGGTAGATAGTAACCGACAACAGTTTGAAAATGTACAGAGCACATTACTGGGCATTGGTGGTCCTAGACAGATGTAAACAAACATTCTGCTGTTGTCAGTGTATATAACTTCTCTTTATCATATAAAGTAAATTAAATTATTAGATTTGTCATTGACAAACACTGAATTATTTTTATGACATAACTGCTTACATTTGAAACTAATTCATGGTATAAGTGTTGTATATTTGTAAATAATAAAGTATTTAGCTTTCTATATAAATAACAGTAATATCTAAAGTTTGTTGTACTGAAAATTCCTCTATCAAATATTGGTATTCTGAGATATTGCTATGTTCTATATGCTTGGAGTTTCTCCTCTGCAAATTCAGTTTTGGGCTCTGAAATTTTCTCTCACACTCTTTGTTTGGGGGGTGGGGGGTCCAGAAGAGTATACCCTGGTGTATTGCTTCTATTCTGTAATGAAGATGAAGGCTGCATGTTCTGAAACATTGATACCTGTATCCCAGAAGACTGTAATCTTAATTACTTTGTCACTTGTAAATAGTAAAGGTTTGGATTTGTATTGTTTGATATTCTGTTACCTGTAGCATTAGCATACTTTTAGCCCTTTGGCAGCCAAGCTCAATTGAAGTACCTTCTAGAAACACCAAGGTTGCTTGTGGCTGAATTTAGTTGCACAGAGAAATGTTTAATATTGCTTTCAACTACCTTCAAATGACCAGGTAGAGAAAGCCTGTTCTTTCCTCTGAACATTGATATATCACACTTGATGCTCTCCATTGTCAGAAATGCTGTGCACAGGCATTAACGTCGAGTTGATCTTTTTAGTTGTGGCAGTTTTAACCAAATTATGCCAAGCTGATATAAATAACTGGAAGCAAGTAGAGCATTAATTCCAATTTCATTAATGTTTGGCTTATAGACTACTTGGAACCATTGCTGCAAGAGCTGTCACTGCTTGCAGCCTATGCTGTCAAGTCACAATGGCTCTATTTTGTTACACTGAATGTTCAGCCGAAGCTAGTAACAGAAACCTCAGGGTCAGGGTATCAACACTATGCTCTTGCAGAAGATATATTGCCACAGATCATAACACCTTTGGAGAAGAAACTCGGTATGTTGTTTTCTGTATTCCTGTACTCATGTATGGCTCTTAAGGCTTTTTTTTTTCTCCTGAAAAGGTTACATCTCTTTAACTTTACTTGTCTCACTGAGTGTTGTGAATTGGTTTTGTTTGCCAGAGGTGTGAGATCTTATGCAGCATTTCTAAATACAGGGGAAACTTCCTCAATAATTTGCATTAACGAATTGAATTTATAATTGTATGCTGTCAGTCTTCTCATGGTAGGAGGTTGAAGTGGGCAGCATGTTAATATGCTTAATAATAATAAAAATATACAGAATTTAGTTTGGAAAACTTTGTATGAAGCTGCTTTGTAGGAGACTCAGGCACAGGTGGGAAAATGATATGAAACTGGATTGTAAGGAACTGTATCATGAGAACCTGTCCTGGTCTGCTTAGGGTAGGCTGTAACAGTGGACTTATGGCAGTGAACCTTTGGCTTCCATAACAGATTGACGAAGACATTGCAAGTACAGTAAGCCCTCATTACAATGGATCCTAATATAATGGGTTTTGGATATACCAGACAGAATATGGCTGTGTACAGTTGTGAATTTTTACAGATATTGAGACAGTAAGAAGGTTTTGTATTTAGAAAACTATGTGAAATAAAAGAGAATCCAAATATAAGATTCTTCATATAATCACATTGTGTGTTTCTGTGCGTATTGCATTCACTTCCGTGAACACCCCTTCACTCATTTCTAGTGGACATCAATGATAACAGGCACCCTGTGCCCCCTATTAATCTGTTATAAAGAGGGTTTAATGCACTTTTTCTTATACATTTGACCTTGGCTGTTACTTTTGAAACAAGCTTGTTTTTTTGTAAATCAGTTTTATACAGACATACATTACATGTGTATCTTTATGCTGTCACTTTAATTAGTGACACATTAGAGATCAAAGATTACAAGACCGTGACTTGCATACAGAATGTAATATTGAATGTTGTTCTGTGATACACTGGAAATCTGGAGAATTCATGTAAAGGGTGGATAATTAAAACCATATCTTTGTTAATTACAGCATCTCATGTGTCACGGAACCCTTGTCTTAACTTCATTGTATATATACCTCCATGTGAAGCAGCCCCTCTCCACATTTATAGACGACAGGGCATGAGGGTGAAAGGTGGAGTAGATGCATTTCTGTCCCCCCGTTGGGGAGGCATAGTAATCCACAACCCATCCAGCCTGATATGCCATAACACATCTGTTCCTGAACCAAAGGAATATTCACCGGACACTGCTGCTATCATGGGAATTTTTCTTGCCCAGTTGAGATTGCTTATGGGAATCCCAGAACTGGTAATTAATTAATTAATGTATGGCATTGTATCCCATTTTTGCTGTCTCTGATGGTACAATTTATTTGAAGCCTAAAACAGGCTTTTCATAAGACTTGAGGAAGAATATATATTCAGAAAATTTTGAACCTACTTTAAAGAACATACATGCAAAGTGATTCATTGCAATGCCTGCAATATTATTATAGGTACTGTAGCTTGCACTATACCAGCTGCCATATGGTTAGCTGCACGGGAAGGAATTGCATTCTAGCTCCTGTATTGAATAACCTTGCATCTGCATTGTATTATTTTATTGTAAAGATATTGTGATTTTTTAAGCAGCTATTAAAAAGCTGTCCTGAAATATTCAGCAACATTTCCCAGTGTGTAAGAAAGACCTATAAATAATGTGGTTTATTTCTTTGAACTTCAGAATCATGTTTTTCCAAGAAATAAAAACCACTGTTCATATATGAAGAATGTGATGGTCATTGCCTGGTCATTATTGGTTCATCAAACACAGTTCATAGAGTCAGATGTCACTGAATTTTCTGTGGTGTGCTAGTTCACTGTACTTCTGAAAATGCACACAGCTTGGGCAGGGACTCCAAAATGCAGTTCTCAGAGCTTTAAAATTTGTGTTGTTAGCACATGGTTTGGATTGTGCGTCAGGCACACACCATTTTATTTAAAAAATAAGGCTCTTTTACTTTTGCTAAAATGCATGGGACTGCCCACATTACATCTTGCATAAAATAAGCTACTGTAAGCTTCGCAATGAATTGCTCTGTATGAACATATGAATTACATTAATTCGTTCAGCAGCAATAATGTTACATTATTTTTCATTTTCGTATCTCTTTGTTGACCCCAGAGCTATAGTACGGCCATAGGATTAGGTCAATTGAAAAATCCAATGACCTCATCAGGAATCGAATACATGGCCTTCTGGCTTGTAGCATAATGCTAAATATTGCCATACTCACATTAATTTTTCTCTTTAATCTTAGTCTTGTATTGTGGTTTATGTAATTTGAAGTTGTGTGATGAACTCAAAGTTTTATATATTTCAGCCATTGTCGGATACTACGAGTACCCATTAGAATGATAGTTTACAAATTCTATAAATTGTTATCATATCAGGGTTGCACTGTATATGTTTTAACACAATATAAATGTAGCATGTTCTGATTTCCATTATCTTATTTAAATGTCAAAAGGTTTACAATTATATGTAAACTGTTGAATAACCAACATCACATGCCTAATGTGTACCATCATTAATTATAGAGGTAGTTCGTTTAATTATTTCTCATAACTGTCGAGATTTATTAGTAATGTTTATAATATTAATAAGAAGATGGAAGAATGATTAGAATTATGTAATTGTCAAAACATAAGTGAAATTAAGTGATCTTTGAGATGCAGGAGAACTGGAGCTGAGAACAGGTAAACAATTTTTCAGCTAATAGGACAGATATTCCAGTTTCATAGAATTTTTTGTAGCTGTGTAAAGTGCCAGTTTTTAAAGCAAGTAAAATGCCAGTTAATTAATAAATGAAAGTCAGTACTATGTCTAATAAAGTACTTTGTAATTTGCTCGTGCCTCACACACGATGAACACAAATGATCTTTACAGTTTCAGAAATGTATTTTGAAGCAGTCATGCAAGATACAACACCTGAACATTTAGGTATCGAACTAAACTGTCAAAGTTTATTTTACCACTTAAAGGTGTACAATGTTATATTTTAGCGTCCTGTTGCATTGATTCACTTTTATTATGTGTATTTGTACCAACCATCTTACATTGCACACAATTTCACCTTTCTCTTCACTACATGTTTCGGCACTAATGTGCCATCTTCAGGTGTGGTTTTGTTTACGTCAAACCATTGCACTGTATGCCATCATGTCTCCTTTATAAAATGATTAAAATGTAAATATGTCATGTATAATAATAAAATTTATATATTAAAACTTTTCAAGATTTATCATCTATACGTCACACTTCAAATTTGTGAGTTACGTCAATCCTCTCCTATGGGAGTACTCTTCCTATATTCTTGTGTATATTGTGTCCTTCCTTTGTGACTGCATGTGTTGTATTGCTGGATAGCCACACCTGAAGATGGCACGTTAGTGCCGAAACATGTAGTGAAGAGAAAGGTGAAATTGTGTGCACTGTAAGACGGTTGGTACAAATACACATCATGAAGGTGTACAGTGTCTACACTGTTGGTAACTGTACACATGAAGTTGGTATTTCAGTTTGAGCTGTACATTTGCAGCAAAAGGAACTTTACGCAAACAACCTGTCTTGCATAACTGACTGTAAGAGGCATATGTAAATGGCTTTGGAGGTGGATCAACTTCAAATTTGATCTGATAGAATCATTGTTCTCATTTCGCACATTTTGTTTTATTAAACAACAGGACACACTTCATTTTTTGCAGAGGTGTCGCCATTTTCTTGCCTGCAGTAATCATGACAGCAGATCATTGCACATAATGTGTACATTTTGATTCAGAACTTTAACAGTTGAAATCTAATGTCTGAGAGTTTGGAAATATTTTCTTTTCCTATTGTTTCATAATAAATTTTCAAAATTGTAAAGATCATTTGTGCTTACCCTATATTATATATATATATATATATATATTTGTGTGTGTATGTACAGTGTATACGTAATCATTCTGGTAGCCACAACTTTGAATCTTAGGTAAATGCACAATGAGAAATTAATTACATTTTGGCTTAAGATATATGAATGGAGATGCAGTGTGTAAAACATCATTCATAAACAAAATAGCTGTAGTGGATAGAGATGAAATTTATTGGGAACATTAGCAGGAAGCCATTCAATGAACTATAAGGGGATCCATCATAATTCACAGTCCCAAGTTCATGGTAAATAGTATCAGTTAATACTGTATTTGTAGCAGAGAAGTTCTCAGTTCTAGCCTTTCTGGCCTCTTGAAGGAATCGTTTTGTTCCCTTTCAGTGACATGGAACATTTATTTGAGAAGAGAAAGGGCTAGGAGCCATTTCTGTCTTGTGTTTGACTTTTGTGATGATACTGATATTGTTATATAGTCATAGTCATACATGTCTTTATAATTTAATTTTACACATGAGTGTTGCCTGTTTGTTTAGAAAGAAATATCAAGAGTAGGTCAGCTTCCATTATCAACAGTGAGCTTACGTCAGTGGGAATTTGACGCTTTGCTCAGAGTGAGAACTTTGGAACAGCTCACTTCTGCCAAGCTGACACTTCAGGTAAATATGAAGCATTGAAAAATAAGAGTGATTAATAAAGTGTTCCGTGTATGAACATGATCATGTAGGAACTTGGGGATAATTCATAAAAGAAGAATACTTATGACTTCTCTGATCATAAGAATAGGTTTTTGCTCTTATGGCAGCAGTGTTGAAATGTGTAGCAGAATAATGCAAATTGGCAAGGAACTCTTCACATCGCAAGTTAAGCATATGGCTAGTAGGAAACTACATTTTGGAGGAGGCCTCTTTGATGTTGTCAGCCTGAGGTGGTAGATCTGCTTTACATGAAGGAATGGAAATACGTATTAGCTGTGTAATATAATGTGGAGACATTTATTCTATACAGACTGAAGCTTTCAAAATGATTGTAGCATCTGCACTTTTCACTCGCTATCGAACTTGCATTTATCTCACAACTTTTGTTCTTGAAAGAATTAAACACATAACAAAACAGTTTTTTTTTTATCTTTTACAGTTGCTTCACAGTTGTCATTCCCACACTTATCAGTTCACAGAGCACTTGGGCATCATGGTGCTGTCTATGGAACATCATGAAAAATAAATTTTATTACCCTGTCATTTGATCTAGGAACAATGTTAGTACATAGGTAGGTCAATAAGTAAGTTACAAATGGATATATAACTTAAACAAATAAGAGTACTGATTTGAAAAACGCTTTTATTCCTCAACATAATCTCCCTATACATTGAAGCACTTGTCCCATCGTTTCACAAGCCCCTGAAAGCCAGCAGCATAAACTTCTTTGGGCTGCTCTTGGACTTCCCTTTCTACAGCTTCATCATCGGGAAAATGTTCAGCCGAAAGTTGATGTTTAAGAGGGCCGAACAAATGGAAGTTGCTTAGAGCAAGGTCAGGGCTATATGGAGGATGCTTGAGGACTTCCCACTTGAAATTACCCNTGTAGTTGAAATTATAGAATCACATTGTACTATGGCCTGTGCAACTCAACAAATTAATAATGGCAGCAGTAATTATATCCCAATTAGCAGGGACAAAATATAATAAATAAATAATAAAATGAACCTGCTTATCAAATTTAATGTGATAGATGAGCGTGATAGTCTGAGCAAAAGTCCTTGATATTAGATGTGTTATTTGACAGTTGAAAGTACACATTAACTTTGCATGAAGCCTCTTTCCGTGATTTGTACTTCAGCCCATTGAAGGAAGCAGCCTGTTACAGCACAAAATACTCTGAACACCATTGTGATATTGTAACTTTTAAATAGATGAGAACTGTAGAATATAATTGAATTTACCTGCTAATTTCAAAGTAAAGAAAATAAAAATTAACATACATGTAAACCTGCTGCTACACTAATTGTGATTGGCTCTTTTGCTGATACAAAATATCGTATCCTTGGTTGACATTACAAGAGTACTCAGCAGTGTGTGTCAGATGTCTCAGTTTGACCATTGGAAAAGCAAATTATTGTTGAGCTTCCAGGTAATTATTGAACTACATTGAAATGTAATGAACAGTTACCTGTAAAAATTGCCTATGTATTGTGATAATGACGCAGTTGCCACAGGTGGAATTAGCTGAAACCTATACAGATGGAGTGCTTTTATATAATAGATTGGCAGTAAAATGTAAAATTGAGAAATGTATGTCTCTTTATTTTTCTGAAAATTGGGAAAAGACCACCACTGCTCTGTTTCAGATGCAGAACACTGGTATTCTAGGAACATATTTTGGGAGCCACTGTTTTGCAAAATTACTGTTAGCCATTGTCTAACAACCCGCAGTTCATATCACCACAGTAACAAAAAGGAGAACTGTTTGCAGTCTTTTATAGCATACTGGCATGACCATATTATAAAATGAGAGAATAATTGTAGAACTGATACATTGAATGAGCAGGGTAATGGCAATTTTTAAAAAAATAAGATATTGTTAAAGCACATTTCAAATTTGTAACAAAATTAGTAAACTGTTAGTGGGTTTTATTACCATCTTATAGAATAAATCTATGTAACAGTCAAGTTTGAGAAAACAGTAACTAAAATTTTTGGCTTCATATTGCTGTTGCTTCTAGAAGTACAATCCCACAGAAACTTATTACGTAAATTTTTGTTACTGCACGCCCATTGGCAGTTACTTTTCATCCAGAAGAGTAAGGTTTATATCTAATCAAGGTACAGTTAGGTCTTCATTCACTTGTTTATTATATTTCAAGCATATGACATTGGAACTTGTCAGGACCCAATATGAAATAGCAGATAAGTGCTAAGTATACAGGGTGCTTCATTTCATGCTTAAACTTAACCTTTGTAATGAATAATGTCACAGTGAAGTGAAATGAAGTGAAGAGTATGATAATTATTATTAAACTACAGTATGTACACCTGTCTATGACTTCCTGTTTTAGCTCAGTACAGATCTTTAACATACAAGAAATTGTTCAGTAATTTGTACTAAAGATACTTATAAACTGCATCGCATTGATGGCAGGGAGAGTAAGATATAACAGAAGTAATAGAAAGAATTGGGGTGGAGCAGCCATATTACTATATTTTATAAGAGTGAACTCACGTGTAAGAAGATTGCAGTTTATGACATACTGGATGCTTATATATGCAGTTAAATACCTAATAAATGTATATTACATGGTAGTCTATGGAAGGAAAGGAAATTTGCTTTTAGAATTTGTTATTACTTTAATATCTAACAGCAATTTTCATATGTTTCCTTCTTTTACAGTCTCTGTCACAACTTCTTGGTGAAATCAGCAACATTGTTATTAATGATGCTGTTGGTAGCTCTATATACCGAGCTGTGAACTGTGTTGAACATGCTGCTGATTTGCTGAAAACTGGACAGTTGGATCAAGCATTTAATGAATCCAAAGAAGCATTTTTGTCTGCTGAAGCTGCATTTACAGATCCATCACTTCTGGCATTGCTGTATTTCCCTGATGATCAAAAGTATGTCAATAATGTACTTATTTATTAATAGATTATGTACCTCATGTACAGTACAAGACTCTAATCTTGAGAGTTGCTAGGAATGCAGGAAGTCAGAACCATTAAAGGCATGATAGTAGCATGGATCAGCAATTATTACATGAGCCAAAACAGTTGCATTAGTTTGGTCCTGAGGAGCCCTACACAAGTACACTGATGGCCAGTACATTCTGAACTGATGCTATACACAGTAGGTATGTCTGTTTCCATCCCTTCCCTCTTTGACAGTACCTTCATCCCTCACCCCTCAAATGTCATGAGTAGAGTCTCTACCAGTACCTGGATGACTGGGGTTTGATTCCCTGTAAGGGCAAGATTTTTCTCTTGTCCATAGAATCCATACAGACTCTGGGGCCCACTAAACCTCCTGTCTAACAGGTAAGGTGACTGTTTCCCCAGGGGTAGAGCAGCAAGGGCATGAAGCTGACCACTCACCTCCATCTGGTTCCGAGGTAAAAAATGGTGGAGCTGCACTTTCACTGTCCCCTATGTCTTCATAGTGTGGTGCTGAATTAATAAGCACAGGGAAAACTTTACCTCACCTCATCCAAGGCTTTTTTTGTCCTGGAACAACATACCATGCTTATGTTTTACAAAAGGCACTAGCAGAAACACATTAATATGACAGCATGTAACAACATTTTTCTTTGCATAGTCTCAGATTAATGAAGGTTTCTACAATCTCAGATCATAGGAAATGGCCATTGTTAAGCTGTTTCATCACATTTCAGGTATGCTGTATATATACCACTGTTCCTGCCAGTAATGATTCCAGTCATTCTGTCACTGAAAAGTATTCACGCCTGGTTGTTTGGCAGAATGAATTTTAAAACCAAGCTGAAGGAAGACTGAGTCAACCCTTAGCAGTGTTAAGGTACATGAGTCATGGCTGTATAATGATGGACTCTCACTAATGGAATTTAGGTTGAGTAACATTATGTTGTAGATGTGTGAAAACTGCATAGCTTATGTATTTCTCTGAATTTTTATTACTACACCAAAATTTCAGTTCTCCGTGGGATGAATGGATACTGTAGTGGATACTGTGATTGATCTGCCGTTCAGCAATTTTGTCTCTTAGAAAGGACCATCAAGAAATTACGCTGATATACAGTTTTAGGTGGAATGAAGGCATCTTAGGCCTAGCGCACACATGCAATTTTTAGTTGGCCGATAGTTGTGCACGATTGTGGAGGCCCAATGACTGTCGAGGGATGTGCGCACACATACAATTTCGAGTTGTCCACAACTACGCCAGTGAGCAGTCGGTCAGTCGCAGCATGGATGTGTATGATACAACAGTAGTGTGTGCATTATTAAGATTAAGGAAATTTGGAAACGGGAGTATTGGGTTCACCCTATTTATAGCGAACGTCTGTTAAAAGGAAAATTTTACACATTGTACCATGAACTGAGACAGTACCCATCAGAATTTTTCGATTATTGCAGAATGAGTGTTCATAGTTTTGATGAATTGTTGCTTCTTCTGAAACCTCATACTTGTACAAGAATACAAGATGGAGATTGGAGTTTAATAGATCTAGAATTATTATTGGAAACACAGATAAAGTAAAGGTATTCCTGTAACAGGCAGTGGAGGCCCGTAGGATTGGGAGATGTTGAGCTTCCCACATTTTCTCTAGACAACCTGCTCATAGATGGTGGTAAGGTTGTCAGCCCTACGCACAGGCCGCCCTTTACTGCCAAAAATATTCCTAGTACTCATTTCCGTTAAGAGGCTGAGTTGACCACGGGGCCTTAGTGAGGCTGGAAGGATTGGGTAAATTGAAAAAAATCCAGTGACCTCATCGGGATTCGATCCTGCGACCTTACAGCTTGTAGCATAGTGCCTCAACCAACTACACTACCGCATGCCCCATTGCAAACACAAAGCATACAAAAATAGTATTTTTCTCTTACATAACGTTAAGGGTACGATCACTTTTATGTAAGTTATTAGACTCATTACACTTCAGTAAGAATTGTCAACGGAATAAAAAATTGATCATGCTAGAACTACTGTATATGCAGACCATTCCAGTTTTCAATCAAACCGGTTCACACCTCTTCCCACAACTTTTTTTTTATGATTAGTATCAGAATATTCTTTACGTAATTTTAAATAAAGAGCTGGCTGCTTCTCCACTTCTACTATAAGTTTTTCAGTGCTTTGATCCCACATGTTGCAACTAGAGGAACTAGAGTGAGCACAAGGACAGGCAGGATAAAGACACAACTTGTTTGCTGAAGGTCAAATTGTGCCCGATTTCCAGTTTTATGTGTGCGCACTCCCATAACAGCTCATGTACACTGGCGTTATCACCAACAGTTGGGTCGGCGGGCAGTTGAGGTAGAACCCAACTGCTCACCAGCTGTTGGAACAACTATCGTGATATATGCGCACTCCCATTAAACCCAATGTTTCTTGGTGACATGCCCAACTATCAGCCAACTAAAAATTGCATGTGTGCGCTAGGTCTTATCAACATTGTGATCAGGCTTCCTGTCCTCATCCATTGTCCAGGAAACTTCACATTGAATGCATCACAAATAGTACTCCTGTAATGAGGTGATGAGGTGGTGCTGTACTGTGTTGAAATGTTTGAATATCATCTTGTTGTAACTGCAGAAAAGTGATGTTGAGCAGCAAATGAAGATAAACCTTTTCCTGTGATCATGGCCACAGTGAAGGAGGAAGGTTCTCTACTTTGTTATGATGAGGCCATGGCACATGTTATTTCAACTCAGGAGCAAATTTTAGATTGGATCAAATGTCTTGTAATATAAAATTAATAACAATAAAATGAATCTTTGAAAACAGGTTCTGAGGAGTGTGAACTTGGTTAATTTGTGTATTTATGATGTCCAGTAGTGTGTTTGATGATGATGATGAGGAGGAGGAGGAAGAGGAAGAGGAATGGGTGGTAGAATGGTGGCAGTGGTGATGAACTTTTACTTTCAATAAAACATATTTTTTACATGTATATGAATACATTTTATGTTACTGGATATTATGGGAATTTTCTGATACCATGGTGAAACACAGGTATGTACAGCAGATAAATAATGTGATATACTGCCTCCAGAAACATAAGTCACTAAAATGCGTTGAAACTGCAATCAGCAAGTTTGTGGGCCCAGAAACGGTCTGGATGCTGTAGAATAGAGAGAAAAAACTCTCACTGCTGCCAGCAATCGAACCCCAGTCTCCCAGTTCATAACTCATTGATATACCGATGGAGCAGTGGTCTGGATGAAACGCAGTTCATTGAGTATGTACTGTCTGTCGGAGTATAGATGTTGGCAGACACCACAGATCATTAAATGTGGGCACAGCTCCTCATGCCTTTGTTCTTTGATCACAAAATCAGTTGTATGCCTTCCCCTACTTTACCTTACTATGGACATCTTTATTCTGATAGACAGTAGGTCACTTATATCGTTAAATCATTAGACATAATTGGCTATATTCATTCAACCGATTGATGACACCGGATATCATTTATAGAGCCTTTTGCTCTGAGGTCATTGAGGTCATTCCATTCAGTTCCATTTCATGACAACATGACCTACTGGAGTTGGAAGAAGGAATATGATTCGTTTTCTTACAGTTACCAGTGTCAAGTCAAGGTGATCACAGAAAGGGAAGCTGGTAACGATTCTGGTTTAATTTGAGACTCACAGGTGAACACAAAACCTACAGTCATGTTGGGTCGCTTTTGTCGATTCAAGGTCCTTTTAATGTGAGCTACAGGATTTATTACTAGGTACAACAGACTGTAACAGTTATAAGTTAGTGTAAGGCATGTTGTCTTTCCAAGAGCTACAGGGAATTCTGTAAACTGCATACTCCTCTAGTATCCATGGAAATAAGGTGGATTCCTATGGGGGGCCTATAGTCCATGCCAATCACGACAGCATTTGTGTAAGTCAAATTGTTTCTAGATGTTGTAAACCAGTTGGCATATCCATTAATTGATTGATATGGTTGCTATATCAATCGACTAGTACTAGGGAGCAGTTTATTTATTGAAAAGCTGGTAGTCACTCATGTAATAAAGATATTTCACTCCTTTTATTGAATCTGAAAGTTTGTTTCCATATTCACAATAGTCAGCCAAAAGCCTCAAGACCAGTTTTAATATTATAACTCCTTCAGCATCTAGTTCTCCCACTTAATTTGTTCTGCCAGGCTTTTAATTCCAAATGCCAGGTAACTTTGAATGAGGTATGTCAGTAGTTTTGATGGGGATGGATTTCTACAGGAAGCGGTTTTGGTAAATTTTAAGGCATTGTCCCAGCAGTTTCCTTGAAGAAATAAGGAAAATGTCTAGAAACTTCAGGATAGTCAATGCACAATTGGAATTCTAGTCATGCACTCAAGTCAAATGTTCAACTGTGTTGTTCATCATAACAGTTTTGGGAAACCTCTAAATATGTGGAACTTTAAACTGGAACAACCAATATCTTGCATTGTTTATTACACAAATTAAATAATATGTGGGAACTGCCCACATTCAAGCAAATGTGACAACAGAAGTATCATTGTTTTAATGTGGGCAGTTCCCACAAATATTTCAATTTGTGCAGTCTTCATATGTTTTCTCCCTCTCATTTAAATCAGGTGGTGCATTTAAGACTCCTACAACATCCTGTTATATTCTGATGTAGCTACTTCCCCCCCCCCATTTTTCGTCAGTGTAGAGCACACCAAGATCACTGTTGCATTCCATGCAAGTCAAAATATTCAGTTCCCTTAAAATATGAATTTGGTAACTTCCATATCAGTTTCTTAACTATTATTAAAAAATGAATATCCACATCCTTATAGAAATATTGGAACATACAGTACTTGCATCACATGAATTGACTTCTGGCCTGAGCATTGTTTTCAGATATCTCCTGAAAGTATCCCTGTGTCCCTCGTGGGTTCGAGTCCTGATGAGGTGGAATTTTTCAATCAACCAAATTCTTCCAGCCACGCTATAGCCCTGGGGTCCACTCAGCCTCTAATAGAAGTGAGTACCAGGAATCTTTCTGGGGTTAAAGGGCAGCTGGCGCATAAGGCTAACGACCTTACGATCATCTGTGAGCCAATTGTCTAGAAACTGTGTGAGCCTTGACATCTTACAACCCTATGGCCCTCCACGGCCTGTTACAGGGATAGTTTTACCTTTTTTTTTAACTTAATAGTGTCCTATTGTTGCATTTATATCACATTTTAACAATATTCAGTCCAGTTGGGCTGATTTTCGTTTAGCAATAAGATGGTTACCATTATAATTCCACATCTTCAGAAGGGAGCTGGGATAGCCCAGTCAGTATACTGACTAGGCTGTGGGTGGGATGTGGTGGTTTGATTCATGGCAAGAACAAATTGGTACTGGGGGCACTTTCCCCCAGGACAAAGTAGCAGAGGCGTGACTTGACCACTCACCTCTATCTAGTAGGTACGTTAGGAATGGGTGCAGCTACATCACCTCCCCCCAGTATGTCTGTATTGTGTGGTGTTCAATTAAATACAGAGGTAACTTTGCCTCTACTTTTCAGAATACAGTCTGAAGATTCCCGAAAATTTCGTCGATCATTGTGAAGTTGTTTATTTATAGCTTGCATTTATTGTGTGTTAAGGAAAAGAGGCGTATAAAATAAAGTGTCTGATTTTCACGAGACTTTGCATTAACATCGTGCCACTTTTATACCATTTAATTTCCGACCAACAATAATACCAATATGATGGTAATGTATACTTATGGATTATGTGCATTGTAAATGATACATATTGTAGGAGCCATAATTTTTTTTTCAAAATGTATATTTGAGAAATATGCAAAGTTTTAAAATATTTTTAAGATTGTACAGCAGTGAGAGTAATGTGGTGGCTGTGCGAAATCTAGGTTTATTTTTTACGTTTGCTGGTTATAACTGATGAGATAAACGGAGATGATCATAAAGTCATGTACTACAAATTCAGTATGAGACTTTCTTTACACTGCAACAATGGCGAAAGTATGAAATTGAACTATTTCTGGAAGAATTAACACAGTCGGCATCTGCACTAATTTTAATTATGCAAATAAATGGGTAACTGGGTGTTATTAATTACTAGTAATTCGCATGTCTGCGCCCATCGGGAAGTCATCAATTGACGCCTCTATGGGCTTTGTCACGAACTCGTTGCAACTGCCGCGGGGAGGACATTGCATAGCTTCCATTATGTGTATGTATATATAGATATCAACCCCAGTCACAATAAAGATAGACCAAAAACAACTAGAGAATGTGAAATGTTTTAAATATTTGGGTAGCTTGTTAACAGATGATGGAAGGTGTACTAGTGAAATTAAATCCAGGATTGCCATGGCAAAAGCTGCATTTAGCAAGAAGAAGAATCTTTTTACCAGCAAATTGGACTTAAATTTGAGGAAGAAACTAGTGAAATGCTACATTTGGAGCATAGCTCTGTATGGGGCTGAAACATGGACACTTAGGGCAGTAGATCAGAAACATCTGGAAAGTTTCGAAATGTGGTGTTGGAGAAGGATGGAGAAGATCAGTTGGACCG